CGCTCGCGGCCGGTTCGCGGCGGATGCGCGTGGGCCCCGGCCGCCGGCGGGGCCGCCTGTGTGTTTTTCCTGGGTCGTGCGGTCGCGGTGGGTGTTGCGGCCGGTCGCCGGGGCTTGGTGCCGGGGGGCGGGGCGTGTTTCGGTGCTCTGTGGGGCTGGGGTGCCCGGCCCTACTTCGAGGTGGCCGGCTGCCGTATGGCAGTATGGCAATTGCCATACCGCTACACTTGTGAAAGTAAAATCTGTTCCTCCTTTTGGCATCAAGACAATTATTCTTATTGCCACCTTGCCAGACAGGACACTGTAAAAAAAAAAAAAAAAAAAAAAAGGGATTGAGATCTGGTGACTGTGGAGGCCATTTGAGTACAGTGAACTCATTGTCATGTTCAAGAAACCAGTCTGAGATGATTCCAGCTTTATGACATGGCGCATTATCCTGCTGAAAGTAGCCATCAGAAGTTGGGTACATTGTGGTCATAAAGGGATGGACATGGTCAGCAACAATACTCAGGTAGGCTGTGGCGTTGCAACGATGCTCAATTGGTACCAAGGGGCCTAAAGAGTGCCAAGAAAATATTCCCCACACCATGACACCACCACCACCAGCCTGAACCGTTGATACAAGGCAGGATGGATCCATGCTTTCATGTTATAGACACCAAATTCTGACCCTACCATCCGAATGTCGCAGCAGAAATCGGGACTCATCAGACCAGGCAACGTTTTTCCAATCTTCTATTGTCCAATTTCGATGAGCTTGTGCAAATTGTAGCCTCAGTTTCCTGTTCTTAGCTGAAAGGAGTGGCACCCGGTGTGGTCTTCTGCTGCTGTAGCCCATCTGCCTCAAAGTTCGACGTACTGTGCGTTCAGAGATGCTCTTCTGCCCACCTTGGTTGTAACGGGTGGTTATTTGAGTCACTGTTGCCCTTCTATCAGCTCGAACCAGTCTGGCCATTCTCCTCTGACCTCTGGCATCAACAAGGCATTTCCGCCCACAGAACTGCCGCTCACTGGATGTTTTTTCTTTTTCGGACCATTCTCTGTAAACCCTAGAGATGGTTGTGCGTGAAAATCCCAGTAGATCAGCAGTTTCTGAAATACTCAGACCAGCCCTTCTGGCACCAACAATCATGCCACGTTCAAAGTCACTCAAATCACCTTTCTTCCCCATACTGATGCTCGGTTTGAACTGCAGGAGATTGTCTTGACCATGTCTACATGCCTAAATGCACTGAGTTGCCGCCATGTGATTGGGTGCTTAGAAATTAAGTGTTAACAAGCAGTTGGACAGGTATACCTAATAAAGTGGCTGGTGAGTGTATTTTAGAGCATTAACCACCTCAGAGTTAGCCTAAATCTGCCAACTTTATGGTGAGTTTAACTATTGTGCTTCACATCTTTATTCAGTTTGCTGAAGGTACTGAAGCGATCATCCTACAGAGATTTATGTTGAACATTAGTAATACAACCAAATTATTAGCAGATTGGCTCCAAATCCAATAAAGTTCCTTTAATGGGGCATTAATCAGTGCTTTTTATCCTCATTAGACAAACGGCAGAGGCAGCCAAAAGCTCATAGCAATTTATAATGATCACACATCCTCTTACAACTTGAAACACAAACATTTGAAGTTATCAGAATGAAGAAAAAGCTCCTCAGAGGTTGGGAGTTTGTTTCCAAGTTTGTCAGAGCAAAGATTTTAACCTGTCAGTGTTTGGATTCTAGTCTTTACTATGTTTGATGCTGAAAACAAACTTTGTTGAACTCTGCTTCACGGCCTCGGAAATACTTTGATCATGGTGATTTGATGCCTCCGTAGCTTCATCTTTAATGGCTTTCACTTCTCACTCTACTGATTTCTTTGTGTGAGTTTTTTCCTTGGTGTTAATTTTACAAAGGCAGGAACTTTAGTAAACTGTCAAGGATGTTTTTGGTGGGACGCGAGTGCAGGGAGACCTGAGACTAAGAGAGGAAATTAATATATTAATTTCTGGCATGGACATACAGGGTACAATCGAGCAAAAAACAATGAAAACCGGGGAGCTTAAACACGGAGGCAAGATGAGCAGTTTAATCTGTTCCCAAAGTAGAGAAATTCAAATAAATCAGCAGCAAGTCAGCCAAACATTTACAAGAGAAAATAAACTACAGTGTAGTTGATAAAAATTGCTTAATTACTCTGATTAAATGAAATGTGCTTCTTGGCAGGGTGATGCAAAGGTATACATGGTACAATAATCAGTAGGACCTCTACACAAAAATGAAAAATGTACAGATGACCTAATTACCAAAAAGCTCCAAAGAGGAATGAGCTGTTGTGAAAAAGACCAAATTAAAAAAACTTAGAAATAATAAGAAAACAAACACGAGGAAACCTTACTGTAACACAAACATCCTTGTTTCCACACAATAACGTATAATACTCTTCTTTGTGTTATTGTTTTAAGAAATACTACAGTATGTAGACCTACTTAAATCTCTACAGTAGAGTGAAAATGTTTTTGCCTCCTTAAAGATGACTGATTATTTAAAAATATAGTGGAGGATTTTCTTTTGCCGGGTGGATCATCTAAATAAGTGGTCCTCCTAATTGTCAATCATTCTGGTGATCTGTTTACGTAACACCGTCCTATGTGCTCGTCTCCATTTTCACAAAAGTAAGCTTGTATGAGAGATGCATACAGAAACTTTTAAACAGAGGGTGCTTGAGGAGAAATGGACTTGTGCACACACTTGCACGCACTTAATAGGCGTTCGCTCTCGGAAGCGGATACAGGATTGTGCATTTGCCTTTTTTTTTTTTTGTGGAGAGGGCGGGTCTTTCAAATATTCGTGAAAATGTTCCATTATACCTTTAAGGACGAAAAAAATATTGAAACAAATCCAATGTTAAAGAGTGTGAATCGTCCTCATGAGTTTAATATGATTAACAACTGTTTTAAAAGCTAGGTTCAAGTAGCTGGTGAAGATTCTCAGTCATCCAGATCATAGTCATTTCAGAAAAGTAAAAAAAGCTAAAAGACAAACCACTGAATTTTTTTTTTTGCAAGTTTAAAGACATTTCGCTTCCCATCCAGGAATCTTTTTTTATTCAAAATGTCTTGATAAGTTCCAAGCTTTATAGAGTAGCCCAACAAAGCCTTCCAAGGGCATAGAAAACATGCAAATAGAACCAGAAGAATGGGTCTGCAACTTAGGAATGGGCAGTTGTTTTGGTTTTTTCGTTAACCTGCAATATGGTCCCCTGTATGGGGTGGGGGTTGGTATGATAGCGAGAAGGAATCAACTCTATCGCTGCGTTGTAAGTTTCTGAGAGCTGAAACCTGACACCACCCCCTCTTTGTAAGGTTGTTTTTTCTCTCTTAACATAAATGGCTTCCTTTACACCTCTTTCTTCTTTGTCCAAAATTTGAACATTCTGGTCCTCAAAATGTCCTTTGTCCATAAGGTGTAGATGAACAATCAGTTCTTGTCCAGAAGGGGTTGCTCTTCTAGGTTGGGTCATGCAATTGTGGAGAGGTTGTTTGGTTTCTCCAATATAAAGATCAGAGCATTTCTCACTGCAATGAACTGCATACACCACTCTGCTCATATATGGTCTGGGGGTTTTGTCTTTAGGATGCACCAGTCTCTGTCTAAGGGTCTTGTTTGATTTGAAATGTACTGGGATTTTGTGTTTGGTCGGCGATGTTTTTGCATTTAGGTTGCCCTCTAGGTTCAAGTATTTTATTCGTTTTTGTCTAATTTAATCCTGTTTAGAGAAAGATTGTGGGTTTTTGTGTTGAGAAAAAAATCTACTAACCCAGCCTCCAAAAAAGTAAAGACCTTCAGAAACTTTTGAACAGTACCGTATATAAGGAGCGTGGCATTTATGTTGAATCCAATCTGCTGTATAATCAGTAATTTACAGCAGCGACACCGCCTTCAGTAAATCCAGCTGACTCGGCTCTGACTCTCATGACAGCACATTACTTGTGATTGGTGGCACTAACTGCAGGCTTCTTCTCTACAAGTTCCCAAACTTATTTTCTACAAAAGAAAGATGCAAACAAACAAGACATAGCTGAAACGATGCAGAGATCATGACTTCACAGTCTTTAGGGTTGTGTTTGACACGGTCTTTAGGGTCGTGTTTGAATAAAAAAGTTTGATATAAAGCTTTGACTTTAACTGGTGTGATGGGAAATTCTGTTTTTTTTTATTGGTCGAAGAGCTAAAGGATTAGACTAAACCACTTGGTGCTTATCAGCCCTTAATTTGGCTTAATCCAAAAGAGAATAATTTCTAATTAATGGAAAGTTAGAACTAAAGAGGTGTAAAAATGTCTGAGCATTAGCTGAGAATTCAAACAGGAAAAAGAGGTCCGGGTTCTTTTTTTTTTTTCTTTAGTCTTCAGCTTTAGTGGCTGTTATTGCTCAGTGGCAACTTGTTGAGAAGAAAAGCTGCTAACCTGGGAAGGACCTCAGGCATGTGAATGGTTACTCTTGTAAAATCGGCCACTTTCAAAGCCCCCTTTTAACCCCGGTGCTTCTACAAAGTGCTCGAAAGAGTTTCCCCTCGTCTGTCGGGATAAAGCAGATGCTGTGTTTGTTTTTTGCAAGATTATAAATGTTTTATGACAGAGGTTACTGACAGATGGGTGGAATCGGACGATTTTACCTCAGCAACAATCGCACCTCATACCCGGCAATTGTCACAGCTGTGGACAAACTGCAGAAAAATGGGTTAATTTTACTTTTATGGTCTGTTAGATTCAGTTAATAGTTTCTGACTTATGCCTTATTGACAGAGAAGGATGAATTGGCTAAGATCAGTATTTTGTTCCAAGGAGCTCTTAGCAGAAACATGACACACAGTAGATGGTCAGGCTAAAGGATGATGCATCTCTCTGGTCTTTGCTGGATTTTTTTTTCCTGTTTCCTTGCATTAAGTTGTGTGACAAAATAAGCTGATTGTTTATGAAATCCACTCTGATATCTTTTTCCTTTTGTGTTTGCAGGTTTCCTCGGATGTTTCCCCTCTCATACAGAGCGATGCTCAGACTTTCACTATCGGAGTTTTACCTCAGATCCCAGGATTTCCACAACTGGCACCCGACTGTGACCTGCAGATCACAGTGAGCAAAAGCAAAGACAAACACACTAACTGTCCCCTGAGCTATATAGAATCCCACTAAGCGTCCCCCAGAGAGGACAGCTGCCTCTGTGTCACAAAGCTAAAACTGCACTTCAGTGTTAAACACACTTTGGACCACAATGTAGGAATATTTGCTCCAAAATAGCTGATAAAACTGTGTACAAAAATGTTTGATTGGAAGAATTGAGAATGAATATTAGCTTAACAGTTTCTTTTTTTTGTATCAAAACATACATTAATTAGTGCATATGGTTAAACATTTAAACAGTGACATCCTGTGTGGAATGTTTTTTTTTTTTTTCTAAATTCTTTATACAAAATTTCATCTAGCCTTTAATTTTAGGTGAAATTGAATAATTTAGCAGCAAGGAAAATGGGCCCACAGCATGATGCTGCCCCCATCATAAAGTGTAAAGCTTTAGGATTCATTTCAATTGATGCAGTTAATTTATAAGAGCAAATTCAATTCATCAATTCAAATGTGCTTTGTTGTATAAAATTCCAATGTTATCGTACTTAAATATTACAATCAAGTTCTGTGTAATATTTAAATAGATATCTGAGGTAACACAGGTGACTGCATATAGCAGCAATCCCTGTATGTGGAACAGTGGACATTACATTGCATCATGTCTTGACTTTTTACGAATTCCTCATATTGAGCCAAAATGTGGCGATGTTTGGAAAGAAAATTCAGTTTAACCTAAAAAAAAAAACGGCAGTGTATCCTAGTTAAACATGAACAGCTCTCTGCAGCAACTGACTGGTGGTTTATTAAGATATAGTAGATACTTTGCTCACAAGCACTTATCTACTGTATACTGTATATAAGGAATAAAGGAGTTAATGCAGCAGCAGTCCCTTTAGTGGCTATGAGAAAGAAACCCAGCTAAGTAGATGAGCTCTTAGCCAGTTATTAAGTGTAAAAGATGGAAGAAAGAACAGATAGCTGCAGCAAATGCCGAGTTGGAAGCTACTGTATGTCTAGAACCAAAAGGTTAATTCACTGAAAGACCAGGCCACTGTGTGTATTATCTAAAGATAAAGAGTTTGAGGTGATTGTCAGAGGTACAGTGTCTTATTTGATCCCCCCTCCAACCCCCTACCCACAACCGCCCTCCCTCCAGGACTGTCTCAACTGAAGAAAATGACTTTTATGAAGAGGCAAACATAGTTACTATAAATAAAATGATACAAAACCGGAGGAAAAGTGGTCCCTATATCCTCCTGCAGCCTGAGCCTATAGCAGCATAACTATAGAAATAGCTCAGGATCATCACGGAAACTATAAGCTTAATCAAAAGTAACATTTTAGGACTAATCCTAAAGGTAGACACCCTCACAAACTTACACTGGGGGTCGGTTTCCCTTTTTTAGAAACTTCAAAAACCAGCAGTAAACCTGGAGTCTGAGAACCAAGTTGTCTGTTAGCGACACAGGGAACATCATATCTCTCATTTCATATTTAAATTAATGAATATTTAGATGAATAAATTAATGTAAATCAAATGTTAAGTAAAAAAAAAAGTGCTCTAAAATGGGTAACAAAATGGTAGAAAACTGCTTATCAACCCATGATGAGTGTGTTCAAAAAGATTTCCCTCATAATCCCTAAGAAAAAAAAAATGCATTTGTTTGTTTTTTTTATCTTTTATTTCTACAGTATGGTATGTAGATTTTGTCTGTGTCAAGCTGTATAGTGATGAATAACTTTAAACACTTTGATATGAGCACACTGGTCAGTTAGGGTTCTATCTTTTGGGTTTAATGTGTAACTGCTGTTTTTATTTTCTCATTTTAACCTATTTATATGTTTGTATTTGTGAAGGCTCTGGATGATCAGGTAACAGAAATAACACCTTCAGCCCTCTCCTTCATCGATGCTGGGACTCCCAGCGAGAAGCTCATCTATAACATCACCAAACCACTTCTGCCCGGACAAGGTGAGCCGTGAGCATAAATACAAGCTTGTATTTCTACCCAAATGCACTGCATTTATCCCTGACCCTATCTGGAACCATAACCCTTTATATCACAAATGTATTTCTTGCCTTTACTAACAGCTAATACTCACCCTACCTCTAAACCTAATCCCCAAGAAATGAAAATAATCCCCTTTTAGAAGCTGTTTTAGATAAATGTTAATTCTCCTCTTTGTAGCATAATGTTCTTATAACTGATTTATTGACCTTCTTACACTGAAACAGGATTTCATAGTTCTCTGATTTCTAAATGTTTTTAGTGCAACGCTTTTAACATGGACTTCCTGTGTAACTGCAGCTGAATTTAATGCACCACTCAGACCTAAACACGCTTGTTTCAGCATCCGTCAGTCTGCTGCCTAACATTCAGCTTGGTGTAATGAAACGGAAAAACGCTTTAGAACGGCTCTCATTCATCAACTAATGCAATGATCAATTAGTGACGAGTCAGGCTGAGGAGAGGAAGGAGGTTAGATTCACATTTTTAAAAACACAACCCTCTCATTGTTCTGCTGTTTTTATATTAGGTGGACAGATTTCATTTAGGCATCGGTTTTGTCAAGGAGCCAATTAAAAAATGTTTTATTTCTTTTTTATTGTATAAATAAAGTATCAGCAAGTCTGTCTTTGCATGACCAAACTCTCTTTAAAATGAGTTTACTTTATTTTAATTTCATTTTCACATTGGAGAAAAATAAACAATATTGCAGTCTAACCATTAATTAAACCATGCATATCTTACTATACTGTGTTTATCTGATTGTATCCAAGATATCCACAATCTAGTAGGGATTCAGGTCAGGGAGCTTTATAGATGGAAACGGCTGTAAAATATGTTTTGGGGACTCTTTTTCGTTTTCAGTAAACTATTTTTTTTTATATTTACTTTACTGATCTCACAATGGAGAAATTTGCCTCTGCATTTAACCCATCTCCCTGGGGAGCGGTGGGCTGCCATTGAGTGCCTGGGCAGTAATCGGGCGTTAAGTGTCTTTGCTCGGAGACCCAGAGTGTCAGTCTGTGGGAGTGGGGCTTGAACCTCATGATTCCAAGCTCTATGCCCTAACCACTAGGCCACCACTCCCCCAAATACCTGTGTGACACCATGAAAGAGTTACTGTTATAGTAACTGATCCTTTTAGAAGCTCTGCTGCAAATTATTAAAATGTTACCTTCTCATTTCTTAGTCATTAGAGGCTCTAAATTAAATGCTATAAAATCTAAGCAGTTTGGAAGTGAATGAAAATGTATTTTGCCGAAAATTTTGAATTTTTTAATATAATTTCAATATGAAGCTAATATTTTGTGACCAAGGAGTCAATCTGTCGAAGTCTGTTTGCATATATGAATATGGGCATGGTTTAGTGTGATTTTATAAAGTTCATACTGAAGTTAGGACTAACTATTCAAATGTAGTCCTGGTAAGAAGGAAAGGTTTGCTTTATTCATGGATTTTAACTGCAGTGTTCCTGTATGAGTCGGTAAATTTTGGCCTCTCCTGCGTTTGTTTTAGGGGTCATCGAACATCGAGACAGACCGCTCCAAGCCATGAAACATTTCACGCAGGCTGACGTCAACAACGGAAAAATCATCTACAGACCCCCGCATGCTCCGTCACACCTCCAGGAACTCTACCAGTACTCCTTTACTGGTGTGGCCTTACTTATAGTCATGCATTCTTTCATATTCAGCCCTTAGAGGGGATATATTATTTTATATACTCAATACTGAATCTTGAAAACGGCAGCAGAGGAGTTGAACTCTGTTTTCAAAGCAGTCCGAGGGTGGTTTGGACAGTTAAGAGGATTTTTTAAAACACCTTGGTTCTAAAGGATAATCCATAATCCAACATCAAAGCTTGCCAAGTTAAATGTTTCTTAATCTGGGGTTTTAGAGCTTTGCTGCAGAAACCCTTCCTCTTTGACTCTTCAGTTGTTTTAAGCATTCTTGTTTATTCATTAAAGTTTTCTTTGTCCAGCCTGACAGCATCTGAATTTGAAGATAAGGTGTTTTTTTTCCTTTTATCACCTGCCAGTTGTAACAGTCTCCTTTGTTTAAACCCGACAGGCCTCCCGGAGTCTCTAAGTGTTTATTTTACAGGTAAATATTGTCCTTCCACTTTGAACATGGAAGGAGGGCGAGAGGAAGAGCTTTTCCTCCCTTCTTTCCTCATTGCATCTTTTTTCCCTCTTTTTCTTTACTTCCACAGTTTTGTTCTTTCATAATTTCTTTGGATTTATTCTTTTTTTTGTTTATTCTGTCCACCCATCCATCATGTTTCCATCAGTCCATCCTCCCCTTCCAACATCCATCCATCCGTCCATCCATCCATCCATCATCCATCCACCCATCCAACATCATCCATCTACCCCCCATCAATCCATCCTTCCACCTACCCACTCACCCATCCATCCACTCATCCATCCATCCTTCATCCATCCATCCATCCATCCTTCACCCATCCATCCACCCACCCATCTAATATCCATCCATCCATCCACCCACCGATCCAATATCCATCCATCCATCCGTCCATCCATCCATCCATCATCCATCCACCCATCCAACATCATCCATCTACCCCCCATCAATCCATCCTTCCACCTACCCACTCACCCATCCATCCACTCATCCATCCATCCTTCATCCATCCATCCATCCATCCATCCATCCTTCACCCATCCATCCACCCACCCATCCAATATCCATCCATCCATCCATCCTTCACCCATCCATCCACCCACCCATCCAATATCCATCCATCCATCCATCCATCCATCCATCCATCCATCCATCCATCCATCCATCCATCCATCCATCCATCCATCCATCCATCCATCCATCCAGGTAGCCAGTCTCCGTATTTTTCCTTAGTAGTTCTTTAGCCGTTTTGATGCTCTGTTAAGGTATTTCATGGGGTGACTTTTTCTGTCTTCAGGATGTTTTGTTTTTGGGTTCTGCCCAGTATTTGCTGTCAGAGGCAGGTGGAATGAATAGCACATAATAATAGTTTGATACTGCAGGGACAAGGATAGATATACTGTTTAAATCCTGGAACTTTCTGTAAAGTTCCATTTATAAGCTATAAAAATATTTTTCCTAATTTTGAGCATTTTTAATTAAAATAGTGAGTCTTGAGGCTAATGGTTGTTAAGCAGCCAGAGTCTTCATTAAAGCTGTGTAAACACACATTCTGCCAAATGTCCAGCTGATGAACCAGCTGCTCTACCAGCTTGTATTATTGTATATTATAATAAATTACATTACATTACATTATATGATATTATATAACATACTCTAGCTGCAAAAAAAAAAAAAAACTAAAAGCATAAATGTGTGTAATAATAAACAGTTTAGTAAAAAAAAAAATCCTCCCTATTTTTGCGAGCTGTTTTTAAGCTTGGTGTTCTTATTTTTCTTTATTTTACCTGAAACGTATATATGTATTCACGTTTTATCATCTTTATTCATCTTTAGTTCTTTTCATCCAAACTGTAGAATTTTCAGCCTTCTGGTTTTATGAGGGTTTAATCTAATTTGCTGTTGACATATTTTACTATACAGAACATCCCTGGGTGTGTTTGCTGTACAAATCTTTGTAGGTCTGGTTAAGTTTCTCCTCTTTCTTCATCTGCTTGTGTTTTTGTGCCTCAGTCTCGGACGGCGAACACACCACTCCTGAGCTGGACTTTGTCATCCTGTTGCTGTCCAATCACCAGCAGCCGCCAGTCTTTCAGGTCCTGGACCCGCTGCTGGAAGTCAAATTGGGGGGACAAGCTACCCTCGGTGAGAGAAAATGGAAAAACCAACCCAGCTGAAACATTGGTTAACGTGTCAGTGGAGCTGAAGCATGTTAGCAGACAGCGAGGCCATAAAATCTGCAGCCTTTTAAAGTTGGATGATTTCTCTTAGCAGATACATTACAGCTAGTTTCCTTTGTTTGTCTCCTGTGCTCTGTGTCCAGGAGGCCAGCTGTTGGCGGTGAGCGATGTGGACACGGATCCAGATGACCTGGAGTTTGAGCTGGTTGACGCTCCCATCCACGGAGAGTTGATTAGGACTGATACCAACATCCGCATGATTAACGGTAACCCACATTATTAATTTTTAATTTTGGTGGTACAGATACATTTTTTTATGTTACCATGTCATTTGCTTTATAATCCAATTATTAAATTCAATTTTCTGAAGAAAAAAAAACGCTCATGATGCCATACACTCTAATAAGGCTCTGAAGGCAAACAAGCCCACATCATCATGGATCCTTCTCCGTGGTAAAAGCCTGAAGTGTTTGTGGTTTAAAAGCCAAATCTCAGTCTAATCAAACAAAAGCATCTAAACAGTTAAATTCAATTCAGTTTATTTATATAGCGACAATTCACAACACATGTCATCTCATGGCACTTTACAATTCAACCAGATCATACAGTCAAATTGATTCAAAGTTTTATATCTAAGAAAAAACCTCTTTGCATCGACTCATTGACTTAAATACAATCCCTCACACAAAGCATGGTTGTAGCGACAGTGGAGAGGAAAAACTCCCTTTTAAAAGGAAGAATCCTCCAGCGGAACCAGGCTCAGTGTGAGCGGCTATCTGCCGATGCCGACTGGGGTTAAAGGAGAGCAGAGATACATAACGCAACTGTAAAAGGCGGCCCCATACAGGAAACACACAGCCATCAGACGAGCTCCGAGCTAACTCCCACGTCAGAGGATGAAGAGAGCACATCCAGCCACTCACAGTCAGAGAAACAGGACTACACCTGGAAAAAAAGGCAGAGCTCCAAAATCTATAAACAAGGGTGTTGATGGCAGCAGCACAGCTGATATTTCTCTCCAGGATGGAGTCACAGCCAAACAGGAACAGACCAGAGGAAGCTACTATGAGAGAAAGCAGAGAGAGCATAACGTTAGAGATTGAACTAACAGATTCTGCAGAGCGGAAGAATAGAGATAGAATGAAGCAGAATGATGAAATAGGGGTCCCTATGTCCTCCAGTAGTCTAAGCATATAGCAGCATAACTATTGAGATAGCTCAGGAGTCAGTTAGCATGTAGATGTTGTTTAATGATGGTCATGGAGACTTGGTGATCCCCAAGGGGCTCCAATTTGATCTTGTGTTCTTTGTAAATTTGATACCATATTTAATTTGACTGTCCCAGTTGCTTTAACTCTATAATATTATTCTTAATATAGATTTGGAAGAGTTAAGGTCAAAAGGAATGTGTCTTACTGGATTGACATGTTTTCTAGTGTCTATTAAAATGCGGTCGTGATCATTAATCAAGATTGTTAACTAAGAGAAACTAAAAAATAAAAATGAATTAAAAAAGTAACTAAAAGTTTCTACGTAAAAAGGAGTTATTTTATGTGAGGTATTTGGCATTTCTCCGTAGGTGTAGCACTAGTGATTTGATGGAAAATGCCGGACATTTTTCCTCACAGAATTAAAGAATTCAAATTAAAGGTTGGCTTTTTCTAATTCCTTTACTAATAGATAGCACTGCTGTTGTAAAATATGAATTTATTCTAAGTTGTTTCATCCATGTGTACCAGGCAGGAGTTTTATTATTTCTATCACTTCTTTTCCACCATCTGCTTTATCTTGATAACTTCGTTTGCATTAAACTCTATCTAAATCCACCTTTCTTTCCAGGCGACACATTCACCTTCAGTGACATCACCCGCAAAGTCCTCCTCTACCGGCACGCTGGCCTCTCCAACCAGGATGACGCCATGTCCTTCTCGGTCAGCGACGGGATCTCCATGGCAACCACAGTGGTGCAGGTGACGGTGCTGAGCAGCGTGAGCGAAGAGAGCGATGGGCCGCGACGAGACCCGGCAGCTACTCTGTCGCTGGAAGTGGGCGAGAAAAGCAGCACGGTCATCAGACGCTCACACATAGCCTACACTGTGAGTGAGAAGGAATGCATGCTGGGTAAAAGATCTGGGTAAATGACATCATATCTGAACCCTGAAACACTTAGAGAAGCATCCAGTCATTCATGCAGCTTCTGTCTGTGCTGTTTCTGCAAACAGAGGCGATGAAATAGTTTAGTAGAGTCTAACATCCTAATTCGTTTGGTATAATTTAAGGAGTAAATTACATTAAATTTACAGACTAATGTGAAAATTGCTTCCCTTCGTGGTTGGGTTCACTCTGTGTTTAGTGCCTTCCAAGTTTGATCAGATCATACAGGATGTTAGTGCCATATCTAGTTGCAATATTTCTTTATCCCTCCTCAGTTTCTTGCTTTTATCGAGCAGTACAAAGAATTGCATAACGTTATTAAACTAGTTAAAATCCTCTTGCATGCATCACCTCTGAAACAGTACTTTGTAAAACATCTTTTTGCTGTAGTTAGAGTTACCAATATTTTTATCTACAGCATGAAATGTATGGTCATTGCTTTTGCTAAACAGCTGAAGCTCAGTCAGATTGGATGAAGAACATCCTGAAGAAAATCTGTTTGGTTTAGCTCTCGACTTTGGTTGTTCCTCTGCGACGCACATAATTTGATCTAAACTGCTCTTTCAGGTTTGTCTTGAATTTACCTCCATGATTCCACCATCCCCGCTAAAGAAAAGCACCCTCACAGCATGATGCTTCCACTGCCGTATTCCACTATAGATTATCGTGGCTATGGAGATTGCTTCTCTGTGTCTCCTCCACAGTTCCAAAGAGCCTCATTGTTGTTTTTGTGATTAATTCTTTGCTTTGTCAGCCTGCTTTGTTAGGATCAACATCTATGGTTTTTAAATCCTCTTTCCATGTTCAGATCACGTACTGAACTGTCTAGGAGATATTCAGTCATCGTGATGCTGCTTGTTCTCAAATGTCCTCAAATAAGTTCCTTTACAGAAATACCGCACCTACACTAAGATTAAACTATAAAAATATTTATTTTATCTGGTTAGGTGACTTATGAAGGTAGTTGTTGCCCTGTGTTTTATTTAGGGAAAACAAAGTGATGTCATATTTCTGTCTTTACAAAAATATCGAGAAACCTGTATCATGTCCTTCCAGTGTCTTAAAGTCAAGTCTTCAAAGTTCTGCTCTGTGTTGTTTGGTCACTTAAAATCCCGATAAAGAAGGTATAATGTCTGAACCTAAAATACTTTAAAGAGGCTCTGTGTTTTGGTGATAACAGGACAGCACATCCCCTGATGATCAGATCCACATCGAGCTGGTGTCTGTGCCCATGTACGGCATCCTGACCAGGACCTATTCCCAGCAGGAGCCTCAGGAGCTGAGGGAGTATTCATCCTTCACCCAGGAGGACGTCAACCTGTACAGGATCAGGTGGGAAAGGGACTCGTGTATGAAATTTGGTGAATTCATTTGCTATTCACTGATGCTTTTTATTGTTTTAAATCCACTTTTCCCTAAAGTGCTCCTCTGAGCTTCAAAGTTAATAGTTTCTACACGGTGAAGCTCCTCTCATCAGGATTTTTATTCTTCCTGATGGTTTTATTGTAACTTCAGATGCGTATAAAAGCACATGAAGCATAGCAACCATAAGGGTAAGACCAAGCTCTCATCCTAAAGTCAAAGGTTTTCCTGGGATAATTATAATCTGTCCTCTGCAACATTAATCGCCTTCATTATTAGAGATGCTCTAATAAAGATGCTGCTTTAAAAAGCAGAGACAGGCTGTTTGTTTGAGTTTGTAGGTGATAAAATGGCTTCAAGGGTTCTTTATGCTGAGGTTGCAGTCATGATTAGCTCCTCTGGTTGCTGCTTGACTCTGTCAGGAACTTTTTTACTTCCACTTAAAAGAGCAAAGAAAAAATTGTTAAATTTTTCTTCAGAATAAAGTTTTTAAAAGACCAAAACCAGAAGAAAAGAATTGAATTCCTTTTCTTTCTTGAGCGGAGTCTGTTAGAATAACTGAGCTGATGAGCATAGAATCAGTTTTACCTGTTAGAGGAGGTGAAGTCCTCAATGAGAGGCATGACATAAAACATTCACATGTTGGCTCCTTCATTTCCATTCATTGAACCTTCCTGAGCTGCAGGCGCAACTGTTTGTTTTTGTTTTGACTCTTTGGATCTAGCAAACAAGCGGTGCGAAGCTGGATGAGTCAGGGAAAATTTGACAGGGATTGATTTCAGCACGGTTATTTGTGGGAAAGCTACTGTTAGAGATTACAGCGAAATTTGTTTATCCCTCAGTCTTTAAAAACACCTCAGACACACTTCTGTCGATATGTCATGAGATGAGATGCTGATTCTTATGTAGCTGTTCACGGAAACAAAGGCAAAACCAGCTGATGCCTTGATTTACAGGTAGATCCATCAGAATACCATGAATCCGAGCCATTCAAAGAAAGTTAACTGGAAGGAAAAAGTGAGGTGGGAAGCAAGCACTCTACCTAAACAAAACACTAAAAATCACAAATGAATCTTAAAATCATGCGATCTTTTTCACACTTTTTTTCCACTCCTCCAGTGGGGAGGAGTTTGTTGTTTACTTATTGTGCTCATACAGAATATTTGGTCACATGGTCTTGTGAGGAAACAGAAGACATACAACCATGCACACACACAATCAAAGCTAACCGGTATGTTTTTGGACTGTGGGAGGAAGCTGGAGTACCCAGAGTGAACCCACGGATTTGTGGGAAGAACATGCAAACTCCATGTAGAGTTTGCATAGTCTCATTGGGGACTATGCCAGGAATTGAACCCAGAACCTTTTTGCTGCAAGGCAGCAGAGCTACAAACTGCCCCACCATGCAGCTCATATACAAAACCCTTAAGTTTAATAACAAACAGAAACAAAATAAAGTGTAAAATACAGTAATAGAATATAATGGGACAACAGGGCATCAATAATAAGGGTATAAGTTTTAGTTTCCTGTAATGATCTTCCACCAAATGTCTGCTAGAGTCTTTGATCCAGATGACTCGTTTTATGAGATTTAAAGACCTTGTTTCCAAAAATCTCTGCTGACTAAGAGACTCTTGTTATTTGAAAGAAGCGAAACATCCATCCATTAAAAACCTGTGATTGATTCCTCATTCCTTTCTTTGTTCAGCTTTCGCAAGACAAGTTCTCTTTGATTATTCTGGAAATGGTAGCAGAACGTCTGAGGTCACATCTCTCAGCTAGAAAAAGAATCTCCAGCCTTTTGGAGCTACTGTCCCACAACCTTTAGATGCATCCTTTCTCCAACACACATCAATCAAGTGATTGTTTTGGAGCAGAGCTGCCGCTCCTCCACTGTTGGTTGTTTGAATGCCCTATCAGGATGTTCTCCCTATGGAGAGTTTCTGCCCGTGTTTCAGTTAATGGCGAACCCAGGAGAAATAAATCCTTTCTGGCATTTAAAGCATGCTCCTGCCTCTCTCTGAACCGAGATAAGCTTTTTATCGTAAAGCTCTGATATGACGTCCTGTGTTTGAACTTTTTTTTTGTTTAAGAGTCGCCCAGTAGGAGTAACCTGGTTCTCCATATGCAGGTACACCACCTCACTAGAGACAGGAAGTCAGCCGGTCACAGACATCTTCCATTTTGTTGTCCATGACGAAGACAGCAACCGCCTTGACAACCAGATGTGCACAATTACCATCACCTCCATGCCCAGACAGCCGCCAGTGGTCACCGTGCAAGGAGGCATCAAGGTGATCTTTTTCACTTTTAATGCTGGTTCTTGTTCTCTCTTTTCTCTTTGAAGCATTTTGGTTTGTGATAAACTGGGGTTAAATCTGTTTCAAAGACAGTTTTTTTGAGTCACAGAACAGTTGTTAACATTTTTCAGTTGAAAAAAGAGGAGTTTGATCTAATCTTTCAAAATCATTTTGATCTTCAATCAGACAGAAATACATAAAATATATCAGTTGAGGAGAAACAGGACTGAGGACTGGGTTAGTGAAAACTGAATTAATCACTAAAGAGAGGGAATCCAGTGAAAACGTTGCCACTGCCACAAACAAATGAAAAGAAGCAGACCTGCATCTTTTTTGATTGCAGCTATTGCTTTTACAGATGCCAGGCCTCTTCATCCTCTTTCTCTCTCCGCACCTTCCAGAACCTGATGGGTGGAGCTGGCTTTAAGCTCCGCCTCCAGCAATCAGTGTAGTTTACACTGTATGAAAAAACACAGTAGTAGCCATTCAACATTTCCCCACTTTCCTTGATGGGCCCTTGGCTGGTCCTTGGCTAGTCTTCTACAGTTTATTTTTAAACATCTAAAATATTCTGTCATGATTTATGGACATTCTAAAGCGGAGGTCTTCAACAGGGGGTCCGTGACCCCTAGGGGTCTACGGAGGTACTGCAGGGGATTCGCGAAAGTTTTGGTTGATTAGTCTTTTTTTTTATATTCCCAACCCGGAGTTTTTCCACTAATGAAATGTCTTTAACTCCACATTACCATGAATTCAACGCACTGTAGTAAACAGATAAATGGAGGCAGAAGATGTCTTTCAGTCATCAATGCTCACATTCAGCGACACATAGGAGCTCTTTCAAGCTGGGCACCGTTTCCTTCACAACACCTGTCCCATCAACCAGGAATCAGAATCAGAAATACTTTAATAATCCCAGGGAGAAATTACTCTCGTTAAATGAATCCATATGTAATAAATAGATTGACTATAGGATCAGTTTGATATATCTCAATTTTATACAACATATATAATTAGGGGGTCCCCGCTCCGTCTCGCCATCGGTTTGGGGGTCCTTAGCCTGGAAAACTTTGAAGAGCCTTGATCTATGGAGAAAGTGTTATCTCCTGGTCAGCCCCTGTAATTCAGTGAAAGGGTGGAGTCAGGGTATAAATACATGCACGCCCATGAGAAGGCCATTGGCTGGAAGTTGGAAGGGATTTTGCTGCCATTCGGATGGCTTTCTACTGGGAAGGGCCATTTTAAGTGGCTGCTACTGTAAAAGAAATAAAAAGTGAAAAATAATAAGTGAATAACTAAAAGTTAAAACATAAGTTATGTACGAACAATATTTGTACGATTGTATAAACAAGAATGTGTTGTATATTTTTTTAATTCATAAAAATATTCACTGGGATAATTATCTGGACCAAAGACCTGCCAGAGCTACATTTTCTCCTCCTACACGGTTCAGTGAGGGGCCATGAATAAATCTGTGAAACAAACTCTTTAGGAAACAAAAATAGAGAGCTTTCAGTGTGACCCAGTGATACAAAACTGTCAGATCATCCTGCTGGATTACACAGATGAGACGTGTTCGGTTTTAACTGATATTTGGGTCACAGGATCCGTGTGCAGGAGGTGGGAGAAGGAGATCATCCGCCTGTTAAAAAAAACAGTCCACATCAGGTGGACACATCCCATTTGTCTGCATGTATTCCAGAAATCTAACATCAAAGCTTTTTTTCCCCCCTTCAAATGGGCTTATATATTATAGTTTGACCTATTCCATGTGTTGTGGTCATTGATATGAATGCAGTCCCTCTCCAGCTCCATTTTTTTGTTTCTGCACTTCCTCAGTGAAAACCTAATTTCTCCTCCTCTTAGGAACAGCAGTTTTTCCGTGTCACATTTTAGCCCTAAACTGGTTCTCTTTCATATCCACACCTGAGCAGGACCAAAAAAAAAAATCCAGTCTGGTACAGAAGGAAACGTAATGAAAACCGTTACAAAGTGAGGAGAGAGGAGCCGAGATGGCCCGATACAGCCTGTGGGAAAAGGAGCAGTAGATGCTGAGCTGAGAAACATCCATCTGTTAGGTCCTGTTCAGGACCTGCAGCCTGTGATCATTTATCCTACATTTTCCTCATGTTTTTAGAAGAAAAAATAAGAACTCCGCTCTGCTGCTCAGGCTTAAAAACTTTGGGCAGAACTTAAAAGATGTACAACATTGAACTGCACAGTATGATTAAAAAAACTAAAAATGCACATCAGTCAATTTTAACTTGGTTTAAGTGAGTTCAATTAAGTTTTTATTTTGCATTTTCTGCCCTAAAATCCTATAGAAAATAAACACGATTAGTCTGTTTACTCTGAATAGCTACTACTTAGAGTCCCTCTTAGAATTTGTCAATGTTTGCCTCTCAGGTGACGGATGCAAAGCGTCATAGAGAAAGCGCTGCAAAGTGCTTCACAGGACATTGAAAGAAAAAAAGATAACAAAGCATTAAGGAAGAGGTTGTTAAAAAAGCAGACGTAGGAGGAACCAATGTTTGCAGCACATCATCAGTCAGATTGTTTGATGGACAGCTGCTGTTAAAGGTCATGTTTTAAGCAGTGATTTAAAAGAACAAGCAGTTTATGTGTACTTGATCAGGTTTTCAGTCAGTTGGATCCCTGGAGGGAATCCCAGAAATCTTTTCCAGAGCGACATTCCCCAGTTTAATCTGGGTAATGAATTTTCATATCCCTGTTGAGGTCATTGGGGGTTTGTAGCAAAAATCCCTCTCCACCAAGTTTTGTGTCTTTTTTGGAGACTCCTCCTCGTAGGAAATCCTTCAAATGGAGTCACTGATAAGAAGTCCTGAGTGTACATCTTCACCAAGCAAACCAAAGAACTGAATGATAAATAAGAGCTTAGGATTTTAAAGAACTCCAACATTTGCTGACTTTTATTTTGTAAAAGATAGAGGCTAAATAAAATGTTTGTAACAGCACATTAAGCTAAATTTAAGTTTAAGCTGTTCTATTGATTCTGGATTCATTTAGTTAGAAAGCTAAAAAAAAAAATTATATATATATATATATATATATATATATATATATATTTATAATTATATATATTTATAATTATATATATATATATATATATATATATATATATATATATATATATATATATATATATATATATATATATAAAACCTAATCAAATAATTTTTTAAACACATCCAGGATTTTACAGTGTAAAAGTACCAGAAACTACCTCAATTTAAAATGACTTGTTTCCCAGGTCCAGGAAGGTGGCCGTGTGCTGCTGTCCACCAATCACATCACAGTATCGGACGTGGAGACGCCTGCAGCGGATCTGCAGATCTGGCTCGTCAGCCCTCCCAAATACGGCTACATTGAAAACACAAAGAGAGGTGGGTTTACAGCACCGCCCACCCCCCTTCCATTAACACGCTGCCTGAGCACAGAGCAACATAAGAAGTGTCTCTCACAATGAACTCGACGATTTTGTTTGTGTCACATTTAACAACAGCGGCTGAATTTCCTGCCGTCCTGATGCCATCTGTCACATCTTCATAATGTTCTGGATTAGTGGTGCCGTATACCCGGCTACAGATGGAGAAACGCTGTGGTTTCAATGCTCCCATGTTTTATCGCCTCTGCTAAAGATAGGAACAGATTGGGGGGAAATTAGAAAGGTAATCTGAAATGAGAACAAAGCTGTCCTTACAAGGGGAATTTCTCACTAAAAGCTCCAGTACTATAACACATTAACAAAAGGGCTGAAAGTCAATGAGGAAAGACAACCTGAGAGATGATGCAGAAGAGATTATACTGAAAGGTTATCTTAAAGCTGAGCAGCAACGCTAAAAACATCCAAAGCTGTAAGGAATTGGTTTAGTGTGGGTCAGTGGGCCAAACCAAACCAACCCGAACCCCACCTTCCAGACAGATAGTAGATTACCACTCCCACTCTCAATCTATTAAATTAAATGCTTAAATACAATCATGTTTTTCTATAAATGCAGTGCTGTGACCCCAAAGAATTTATTAGGACGGAAACAATGAATCAGACTAATTATTGAAATAATCGTCAACTAATTTAGTAATCGATTAATCGTTAAGAGGAGTATAGAAACTCTAAAACATGCCTTTATGAGATAGAGCGACCTACTTAGAGCAGTCATTATACTAAAATTGTAAACACTAAATGTATCCCTTCTGCCCTTTAAGTGGTGTTTACACCCTTGAAGTGAGTTTTAACCAAAATCGCAATTTTGGTTAAAAATAATCCAAAAAATAATAATTTTAATTTTTGGCATAACCATTCAGGCTTAATAGATTAGCAAAGTAATCATTAGCTGCAGCCCTAGAATTTATACAGATAAATTTTGCACTTTTCACCAACATCGGATGTAAACGCTCTCTCACTTTTATTTGTGTCCTATTTACCCATACAGGCATCTAATCGTTATTTTAATGTGATTCAAAGCTTCAGCTTTTGTTCTGTTGGTAGGTTAGGATAGAGGGGAATGTGAGCCATCATTGCAAACGGTGAATCAAAGAACACATCTTAAACAATTAAAACTTTTAACTCAATAATGTTTATAGAAAAAAGGTGGTTATGTTATTTTTTTTCTTGTATTTTTTACCATTTATTGCATTGTATTAATTATATGTTAATATTTTTCCTGCAGCGCTTTGGAAATGCTTCTGTTTAAAAAATGTGTAAATAAAGTGAATTGGATTGGATTATGAATATAAATAAAATCAGCTCTTTTAGTTTTTAATTTTGAATTAATATGTGGTTTTAACTGAGCAATGTTCTTGGTGATGCAGGTATTATACCAGTGCTGCATTAGTCCATGGTTATATTCTAATTACTTTTTCAGGTTTATATTTTTACCTCCCTCTTCTAGAGGGAGCTCTGGCGCCCCCTGGGAAAGGGGCAGCAAACCCTTGGAGAAGTCCAGGTTAAGATCAAGCCAGGGTACTAAGGCCTATTCAGCATCTTGTCAAAAATCTCTGCGTAGTCCACAGATGCTCTGAATCTAATCTGAGTTTAGACCGTTCTGGAAAGGCAAAAAGAGAAACTTCAGTTTCTGTGTGATATGCTGGGAGATATTTAAGGAAGCAATAAGATTTTTTTTTTCTTTTTGAAGGATATTAAAGGTAAAATTTGTTATATTTTTAGAGTGAATATGGTGTGACATCACACCTAATCTCTCTGTTTAGTTCTCCACACTGGCAGCTCATGCACAATGGCAATGTGAACAGCTCCCACTCAGGGCTTAGTCTCTGCTTGCCTATAAAATGTAGCAAAGAAGCGAAATGGTGGAAAGCACAACCAGTGGATAAAAATGGTTACATGTACCTGTAAACCATCATTTGCTAAAAGGAATTTCCCCTGCTCTCATGCATCTTAAAGTTCTTCACAAAAACACTACTTGTTTTGGTCTACACACATTGCTCAACAGCCCACCTAGTGGTAAAAGTTACTTATTCCTATTTTAACTAACAGATTCTGAAAGGATTTCACCAGTATGGACACTTTTGCAAAGCACTAACATAACTACGCCAGCAATGGAGGGAATCCAATGATTCATGGAGAGATGTTTTATTTTTTAACCATGCTTTTCTTATTTTTTTTGAAAATTATTTAAAGTTTTTTTATTTTTTTTTATTTTTCATTTTAGATATATCCCCCCAAAATAAACATTTCTGGTGTGAATAAGTTAGAGGCAGATATAGAAATATTTTCAAGAAATATTATCAATTAATGGTCAATATTCTTGTTAGGGAAGAGTTTAGGGTTTTGATTTAAAGCGAAACTCTTTGCAGAACACAGAGGCTAGTTTCAGACCTTTTACATATTGCTCTTCTCCTAAAGCATAAATGCACTCAGTCAAAGGCTCCTAACACTCATGGCTGCAGATTAGCAGCTGGCACAGATCTACTGTCGACTACAGCTTATTGTCCTCTTGGCTGCTAGAGTGAAGGTTACTTGTTTGTATTCAGTGAAGTCAGTCAGCAGCTCTTTAGCTTTCTGCAGTCTGCAGGGCACAGGTGGCGCCGGTCAATGTCTGATCACAGGCAACAAAGCATAAAAGGTTTGATGCTGATGTAAAGACTCAGTATACAAGGCGCCCGCCCACATGATGTGCATTTATACAGTAAGATTACAGTTATTCAAAGATGCATTTTAAAAGACAAGACCTCCATTAGCAGAATGATGATTCTACCTGAGGAGTAGAAAGAGGATCCAGTCAGAGTTAGTTGGATTTATGGAAGTATGAAAGCTGCTCCACCCTAAACCCAAATGCTGAAAGTAATTCATTAGTATGAGTGTTTGAAACTCATTAGTTTGTAAAATTTCTGCTATATTAATATAGTTTTTTTTAGTACATTAAGTCCAAACTTTAAATGAATCTAGATTGTTTGTTTTTTCATTAAAATTTAACTAAAATAACTTCATAAACCTTAAGTTAACTGCATTAAGAAGGTACTGGTAGATTATGACAATAAAGACCCTAAATAGCTGCTTAGCTGGCAATGGGTGTGGCTAACATGGCAACACCATGATTAAGGTTTGTACTACATTTAGTCAGCAGTATTCAATGTTACCTGATAAGCCATTATTAAGGACCAGGTGAAGAATTAGTGAATATGATATTTCAATTTGTCACACCACAGAAATAAAACATTTTTATCAATTAAAATTAATTTGAATTGATTAAAACACAACCGAATATACGGAATGATGTCTCAAGAGTAATTAAATAACTCTTTGTAGTCATAGTAAGATGAACCCTCATGAGGCATTTTAACGGTTTGGCCAAATTGCTCCAGCGATCCCCACAGTTCATGAAGCTTCATGTGAACATGTCACCAATTATTGCAATTATTGTTTTTCTTGTTTTCTTGCCCCTTAAGGTTCCTTTGAAATTGTTAATGATTGGTCTGTATAATAAAATATTTTGTAAGTTTTCTTGTTTGTAAAATGTCTGAGCAAAATGAAAGGTGTTAGTCATTTTATTTAAACATAATACTTTTTGGTTTTAATCGGGTTGGAAGTTATGTGTTCAACCAATGTCTTGGTTAAACCAAACAATCTAATTAGGTAGTGTTTTTACACAACCTTTATTTGTACTAGCGCAAAGCAATACAAATTAGGCAAAATACTTGTGTTTTATCTCAACTTTCAATAGTCTGAGGTGGGTGTTGAACCAAGAATCTCAAGAGTGGAAGTCCATTACAGCTGACACCACTAGTGAAGTGACATGACATACTGGTTAAATTCTATTACATCTGTAACCAGTGGCTTGCTCAGATTTTGATCATTACATTGTTTAATCTCACCAAACTAGTTTTAACCAACTAGATTGGTTGTTTTTCCCAACCAATCTATCTTTGAATATATACAACCTATCCAACTCAAGCATCTTGACTGAACACAGAGGCTGTTTAAATGGCTGCCGAAGTTCCGGGCGAGCTGAACCACTTTCCGGAGCGGTCACATGGTATAGCGGGGTAGCGAGGCTTCGGACGTCATCGATTTTGGCTCCTCCTCCAAATAAAGCAAGCCAATATGTGCCTCACGAAAACACTACTTCCAGTACTCGAGACACGCCTCAAAGCCTAGGTCATCTCATAACATCACCAACTCTTTGTCCTGAGAGACTGGGGGCGTGTCCTTTAGGGGCGCCAAACCACCGCCAAAGTTGCTATTCTATTTCACTGCAACAGTCACAATGAAAAAATATGCTAAATATAATCTGTACATTCTTATTTTTAATTCAGGGGGGATTAGTGGAAGCTTCCTGCATATGTGACTGATGTGCAATAGGGAAACAGAGTCACTCCGCTCTCTAACTGCAGACACAGGCTGCAGCTGCTGCCTCTGAGTCCCTGTGTTGATAGGAGTGAGGGGCTCGCTCACTAACTGTTCAATGGAGACCATTAACTGAGAGCGATCTGTGCTGTTTGTGTTGTCACTCAAATATCCAACATGACAGGAAGAAGTTGCTAGATTTGTTGCTAGGCGCTTTGTTGAAAAAAAGTCCCTAGAGGGGTCTAAAAATATAACAACAAAGTCACAACAAGTGGCAACAATGCATAGGCAGCCTGACTTCGTTTTTATACCGCTGGGCCAGCAGGGGGCGGACCTATGCTGGAGGCAGCTGCATGATGACAGAGGCCACACTTTTAGACACACCCAACAAAATTCAAACACAAATTTACTGCTAGTGCCACAGTTTAATCCTAAAAGGTTGGGAGGCTCTTTACATGTGTAGAAAAATACATTTATGCTTGGAAAATAGGAGAATTCTCTTTACATGTGGTTTAAATGTTAAAATGTTAATAATATAGGGCTTCGTGATGAAAAAAACATTATGCCAATAGTTGTTTGGTATTATAGTACCCACAGGGTATAAATAGCACATCAGGTTTAGAGGTAGTGGTTGGATTTGTTGCTGTCTTTGTTTTTGGACTAAAGAAACGACTGAACAAAAATTTTAAACTCTTTGCTAATAAAACTCTTTCCTATATATAGTTCCTATATCTAAATACTTTAAACAGTATTAAGTAAATGTTTTGATTTGGCTTAATGAGCCATTCTAATTAAGTTGAAATCTAAATGTAGAAGTAGGACTTACTGATTATTAATTTGTAATTTAAAGTTCACAACCTTAAACATTTTGAGGCAACTGAATGCTTTACAGTTTTTTAAGATCTGGTCATTTATTCATGTTTACAAAGTGTTGAGGTATTTTTGACAAATCCAGACACCCTTCAGGCCTCCTTTCAGTTCAGAATTTCCAGAACCCATCCATTACCAGGTTTTGTGTTTTATCAGATGCCCAAACCACTTTAACTGTCTCTTTTGGATTTATATAAATATTAACTTTACTTCTCCTTCTCTATTCACATGTTGTGTCTGAGTAATATATTCTCCCTAAACATAAGAGATCGTCCAGACACTCTGTGGATGAAAGTTATTTCAACCACATCCAAGATGTGTGCAAAGGATCAGTTTCGTTATTAGATGAAGCCGAGTTTCTAAATTTTGGATGCTGCTCTTGATTAATCTTCAAGGCACCCTTCTTATATGGAAATATTAAATGTTGGGAGCGTTTGTCTTAAATGAGGTTTAAACGATTAAAAGGTAAAATATCTGAAGATAGAACAACATCTTAGCTTTTTTAACCGGCATGTTTGATGACTTCCCCGTTAACTGTCCTGGTGCTGCAGGAAAAAGGGCATCTTTCCGTTCCATATATTATGTTAGGGTCAGACTATGATGAGTGTAAGAGTTTGAAGGACTTCCTGTACCATACCTCTACCCTCACAGCTGTGTCTGTTTCCTCCTCCTGCAGGCGGCTCAGTCGGGGGCTCACACATTGTTGCTCCAAATGTTCCTTTTTCTTTGGAGGACCTGGTGTCTGATCACATCTTCTACGTCCAGAACCATCAGAAACCTCAGGCCAACAGGGATGTTTTCAGCTTATACATCAGTGACGGATACAGCCAGACGGAAGCATTCACTGTGGAGATCGAGATCCAGGTAGCAAGTTTTCAATGGGTGACAATAGACAAACTCACAGGCTCAGAGTTGATAGTGTTTGATCAGTAGTGAAAGCTATTGATTAACTCTTTGTTCTGTATTTTCTGTTGCAAAATACATTTTCTGACCTATAAAGATGATAAATTGGTTTAGAATTTTTTTGTAGTATTCATATTTTTAAAGGGATGATTGTCTCCCATCAATGTGATGCTTCTAAGTCTTTTATTAAGTATAATACCTGTTATTAAAACATTAAACCATTTTTCTTCCAAGGAACAAGGATTTCATTTTGTTTCCAATGCCTTTTATTGTTAATAAAAGCATTAAGAGTATGCAAAGGTCCTCCAAACATTTTCGTTGTCTTATTTTAATTTGGTATGTTCAGCAGCCTGTTCATAGCCTCAGCAGATTAACAGCATGGAGTAGTTCTGCTTCTGAATCTGTTTCTGAATCTGTTTCTGAAATTCTAACAGGTTGAACCTGAAAAACGTTCTGGTTCTTCAGGTTCAATTTGCATGTTTTCTAAGCCAAAATAAGGTTTTGTTTTGGTCTACTTTATAAAGCTCTGAACTCAATGCTAATTCTGACATTTTGAATTGAAAAGCTTCCTGGATAAGAAGGGAAATGTCTTCAAACTTGGAAACAAAGTCCAGTGGATTGATTTTTAACTTAACTAGGAATGACTATGACCAGGGGCGGATTTAGGAAATTTGGGGCCCTAGGCAAAGACATGCGTAGGGCCCTCTGAATTGAAAAGACAACACTTAAAACAGACCCATTATACAGATACAAAATGTTATCTTAAATTTTATTATTTATAAATAAGCACTTTTAAAAAAAAAAGTGCTAGAGGGGTCTGAATAGTTGCTAAATAAAGCAACAAACGCGCACTTGGCACTGTTTGTTTTCAAATGGTTTGCAGCTGACTGGACCTTTCTTCACTTGCGCAGCAAACGGACTGATCCAATGTGGTGGACACTAAAGCATTCTGATAGCATTTTAGAGAAAGGATTTCTATCAAAAACATAATTAATGTGCACAAATGAGTAATACCTGTATTAATCATACATGTAAAAGAAGGTTTATGGGCCCCCAGGAATTTGGGGCCCTAGGCAGCTGCCTAGTTTTGCCTAATGGTAAATCATATAACATTCAACAGAAATCCAGGTGTCGACCCACCTGAAATGACTTAGAATCCACCTTTTATATGGTGTTCAGACAAGTGGCCAGGTCAAATGATTCATTAATTGGGGCATCGGGACACATGGTGAATTATCGAAATACTGAGATATATCTAATTTATAATACTGTTATAAAACTAATGCTGGTCCTTCCCTCTAGTTAAGACCCTTATTACTCTAAATAATTGAAGTATCAAAAGTTGAAAGGCTTAAAGAAAGAAAGTTGAATTGATAAATTTAACATTATTATAAAATTCAAAGAAAAACAAAGTCAGAGCTTTAGGAAAACAGGGGAATCCAAATAACTTTTTGCTGTTTTTTTTATTTTTTTTATTTTTTATTTAAGTCTTGAATAATAAAGAAGCAGCAAAAGCTCCTAATTCACGCTAAAGGATGATCGGGACTTTTAAATAGAGGAGCTGCACAGGTTTGCTAAGTCTCCAAATTACAGACATGATCTTATAGCTACTTTTAAACCATTTTGAATGATTTTAACTTGTTGTTTTTGTTAAGAGGTGCTCATAGATCTCAGTATTGTGTACTACCTTAGACATCTTCCAATGTTAGAAGTTTTAGTAATTGATCATCTATCTTTCCTGCTCTAAGAAAGACTTCATCTAAATTAAACATCGCAGCCTTCAGCCTGCTCTTTCTCTCTTCAGTATAAACATAATCGGTTTCCTAATCAGCTAATTAATCCTGTTTTGAGACTCCAGTTGAATTGATGAGGCTGTCAGTGAGCAGTTAGGTTAGCAGTGTGTGTGTGTGTGTGTGTGTGTGGGTGTGTGCGTGTGTGTGGGTGTGTGTGTGTGTGTGTGAAGCAGCCATGTATGGTGGATCTCTCAAGGATCCAAATCCCTGTTACAATATAAGGTTTCTGCGTGGTTAACAATTTAGACTTTCATCAAAAATGTTAACCTTTAGAGCAAAAAATAAGCTCTGAAATTCAGTTCAGTCAAACTAATATATATTTAGAATGAAATTTATAAACAAAAAAAGGTGCAGGTACGTGGTTGCCTAGATGGGGGGTTGCGGCCCCCCATCTAGGCACCGGGGGTGGGAAGTATGTATGTTTGAATTAAGGTAGGTGAATTAAGGTAGGTGAATAGTAATAATAATATATATACATTAAAACTGTGACAGTTTTTCCCATATCATGAAATCGGCTTTTATAAATCATTATAAACTATAACTTGTAGTAATATATCACTTTAACATGAAAACCATGTGAACTTTGAGGCTCTTCCTCTGTCTAAATATGTGAGAAAATGATCCTACTTTCACTGGCAGTTCAATGGTTTTACCTTTGGCACAAATATAATTGCTTTGGTCTGCCTTTCTATCCCCAAAGAGACAGTTTGTTAAAAAGTTTGTTATTCACTGGAATTACTATACAAATAGAAAAATATGCTTGTTAATATTCTTTCTTCTAAAAAAGCAATGTTATATAATACGGTAATACAAAAAAGTTAGAAAGACATTCTAAGAGGGGATTTTTCTTTATGCATGTTGTAGCAGTGTCTATTAGTTTGCAAATGGGATCCCTGGTCAGAAGTTAAAACTATTGTGGGGGCAAAATTTTTTCTTTCAATATTTTAGACTATTCAGTTTGTATTTATAATCAGTTAGTGTGAATCTGATTAAAACTGAAGTCTGTAAGTTTTTAAAAATCACTTTTTTGTCATATTTGCTAAAACTGTCCCTATGCCCAGACAGCAGTACATGTGATATGTAACCTGTGAAAAAAAACTGCTTCAATTGGTACCGCCTACTGCCTGTATTTCAATCTGGAAAGAATAATTCGGGACGAGTCAAAACAACCAATCACAGCCAGAGGAGCGTCTGATGGAGTGTCAATCACAGCTCACACACGCTGAATCCCCCCCCCCCCCCCCCCCCTGGTCGCATGCGGTAGCCGCGCAGATGCTGTGAGAGGGGTGGAGCTTGGAGGTGGGGCATGAGTGAAGCAGAGAGGGTGGGGGAGTGGCGTGAAACCTGTTTTTCTTCAAATTTTCAGTCGAAGTCTTCTCTCTTCTCAATGTTACAGACTGCAGCTTTAAAACAAAATTCATTTTCTGATATTAGCACCCTTTAGCTAAATTCCTTCCTTCCTTCCTTCCTTCCTTCCTTCCTTCCTTCCTTCCTTCCTTCCTTCCTTCCTTCCTTCCTTCCTTCCTTCCTTCCTTCCTTCCTTCCTTCATTTGAATTTATTCAAAACAGAGTGGAAACATCTGACTTAATTCCTTTTCTTTTCAAAAACCTTATTGACCACTCCTCTGTTCCCATATTTTTAATTTTACTAAAATAAAGTTTACTGAGAGTAAAATGATTATCAATGTGTTTACTTTGTTTTTCTTTTTAGATAACAACAAATACAACACAAAGCTCCATATGTATATAAAAAATCTTAAAAAATAGAATAATTTTTGCTCAAATGGACCATTCCTCCTATAAATGGCGCCAGTCCCTTCTGGGTATCTCACTACCGAGGTTGTGCGGTGTTCTTTGAGTTCATCAGAGAGAAAGGCTGAGGAGACAATCTCAGTGGTGGTTTGTTTTTTCAGTTTCTTTGAAAAAAGGAGTTCATAGTGTCCATTAGGTAACTGCCAGTTTTGAGTATGTTTGGCTCAACCTGCTGCTGTGAAGCAGGATTCTCCACCATGAGCAGAATTAGAATTAAAAATGGATCCAGGCTCAGAATGAGCACCTTGATATGTGCTTTAGAATGGCTTTGTCTCCATTCAAACCCAGGTTTAAAGCCTTGCAGGGCAGCATTAAGCCCACTGCTCTCATTAACCCAGAAAAAAAAAATAATAATAATAATTGTCTAAAGCCAAATTAAACGATTGTTGTTCTCTACCTCAAAAAAGACTTTAGATTTTAAAATGGAAACATTTTATCTCTTTATATCTTTTATTTAAAAATGTAACGTATAACATGGATGCGTAAACACCTCATCTTATCTCAGTGTTAAATGCTGTTTAAAGTAATAGATTATATAATAAAAAAATGTATCCGGACCTTTACTGTTTGATGATTTTCTTAATTTAGTTTATTAATTTAGTGTCTTTTTTATGCATTACTTTTTTTCAGCATTCTAACTGTTTTTCTTCCAAAAATAGATTAACTTTCAAGGTAGTTACACTACAAGAAAATGTAATCTAAATAAATAATTTTTTTTTTTTATAATAATTCCATTTTTTCTTGAATTCAGGAGGTGAGACACTTTGCCAATGGAACAAGACAATATACATTTAAAGATAATTCTTATCATTTAATTATTTTGGCTTAATCATGGCCACTATAAAAACATCCAGCTGTGGTATTTTTCTGATTACTCCTATTGTGTCTCTGTCCACCTGCAGAGTAAAGCCGAACCAGAGCTGACGGTTTCAGTGAGCAGCATCCATGTGGAGGAAAACTCCGGAGTCGTCATCACCAACTCGTCTCTCAGTGTCTTCGACGAAGACACACCGGAAAATGAATTATTATTTACCATCATCCGGATTCCCGCCTACGGTGAGCCCAGAAACACTTTAACAGCATATCAACACTTTGCTCATTTTCACCTGGTTTTGTGAAGCTTTTCAACAGATATTGAAGCTTATTGTTTAAAAAGGCAAAAAATTGATTTACAAATCTATGTAATTATTTTCTAAAATAATTTCTTGATATTCTAATTTCTTTAGATGTACATTTATTAGAATAAAGGCACAATCTAAACCAAGCATCAGTCAGTCAGGTAATCCTTCTGCACAAACTTAGCTCTAACAACCAGTTCAGCACTTAGGTTGAAGTATGTTTACAATAAATTATTCTGAATGTGACCGAGAAGAAGGCGCATACAGAGGCGTAAACACATTACTCTCACTTTGACACCCAAAAGGTCTAAAACAAGACAAACACAGCGTTGGTCTGCAGCAGCGGGGCTCTTTAACCGCAGCCATTCCTCACACACACTCAGACCAGCCGACCTCCAAACGCTCCACCCTGCTGACGGCTGATCACAGGCGCAAAATGAGTTCTCCTTCCAACATGCCAAAACCTGCTGGGTTAAAGGAAATTGTTTCACAAGACAAGATATAGATGACTGTATTTGTTTGTTTACCAGCAGTTTATCACCCAGGCCAATTTTAGTGGATAAAATCCTGGACCTGGATGGGAAACTATTTTTGTTTTTCTGTCACACAGAAAGAAATACATAAACAAACCCTCCAATTTTCAGTGTCCCATCATGTCAAGACATTAATGGGTTTAAAACCTCCATAACTGTCTTGACACGATGGCAGCCTCTGAAACACCAGCTGAGAAGAGGCGTCTGATGGATTTTCCACCAGAAATAAGCAGCCTTCCTAATTTCATCTTCCATCTCTTTTTAAACTCTACGCACACACACCTGGGTTGAACACGGTGTAATAACGCCCTGTCCGCAGTTAAAGAGCCGTAAAACAGCCGGTGAGGTGGAGCGTAAAGCTGCTATAAAACCGCTGTTGTGTAGAAGTGCTGGGAAGGAGCAGGAATCTGAGTGATTTCATACAAAATGATGGAAGTTGGGCAGTTTCTCTTTTTAACAGGCCACTTCTTTATTGTCTTCACTCCACCGACCCTTTCAAACAAACTGATTTATCACAGGGAAACGCTCTCTAGCCTCAGGATGCTGCTCCACTACTGCGTGCAACTCATTGACTCATCTTAATAAATCCTCTGAATAATATGTAGAGCAAAAAACTTGACTCTGAAAATAACAAATTAACTAAGACTATAGGGATTTCTGTTTTAAATCTTAATCTAATTATTCAATCTGCAACAATTATTAAGCCTTAAACAATTTACAGTCTATTTTAATCGTTATAAATAAATTGACATTTATTTAACATAACTTTTTTTGGTCACACTTGGATCATTGAACACCTGAGCATCAGAAAAAAAGTGTCCCACCTCAACAGAAAAACAGCAGTTTTTCAATAATAATTAGAATCAAAAATATATCTTGTTTATATACAAAAATATATTTTCCCCTCTGTAAACCCTTCTTTCCGGGTTTCGGTTTCACTAGCTGCCACACGTTATTCTAATTACTTCTTGATTTTTTAAAATAAATCGCTTTAAAAATTACCTTTTTAGACCTGAACAACAGATTTCAAAAACCCTCACATCTGACTTTAACCTGTTTCTGACCTTAGATATATATTGTGGACCAAATCACATGAGAAGACTCACATCTGAATGGTTTAATTTAAGGCAAGGAAAGTTTCTTTATTTGCACAATTCAGTACAGAGACAATTCATGGTGCCTTACATGAATTAAACTGTAAAACAGAGAGAAAACAAAAGCAATAAAAAAATAAAAAACTTGATAAAAGCAGGTGGTAAAGCAAATAAAAAAAGTTGAACCACAACCTTAAACTTATAATACCTCAGTTAACAGTTTAACTTCTACAATCAAAGTCAGCTTGTGGCAGTTAAAGAACTCAGGCTTTCAGCACTTTTGCAGTCTTCTGGAAGTTTGTTCCAGATCAGTGCAGCATAGGAACTAAATGCTGCTTTTCCATGTTTTATACTAGTTCTAGATTGGAACTAGAAGACCTGAGTGGTCTGGGAGGATGATACACTGAAAACAAATCTGTTATGTGCTGATCCATTCAGTTATTCATAGAATAACAGAAGGATTTTAAAGCCTATTCTTTGAGCTACAGGGAGCCAATGCAAGGACTTCACAACCGGGCTGATGTGCTCTACTTTCATAGTTCTAGTGAGAACGTGGGCAGCAGAGTTTTGGATTAGCTGCAGCTGTCTGATGGACTTTTTAGGCAAACCTATGAAGACCATGTTGCAGTGATCAATTCCACTAGAGCTATGTGCATGAATGGGTTTTTCTAGATCATGCTCAACCATTAGTCCTTTAATCCTGGAAATGGCCTACAGGTGATAAAAGGCTGACTTAGTAACTGTCTTTATGTGCCTCTGAAGGTTCAGATCTAGCCATAATCCGGTAATAATCTGAGGGAATAACCTCAGTTTTTTTTTTATTCAGTTGGAGAAAATTGTGGTGCATCCACATTTTTATCTTTTCTAACCAATGCTCTGATGGGTTTATAGTCATCTGGTAACATTGTGATGTAAAGCTGCATATTTATTATAACTAATCTAGTTGTTTAATGTCATCTGAGCTAAAGGGAGCATATAGATGTTAAATAGGAGCAGCCCCCTCTTCATATTGTTGTAATCTTTCTCAGGTAAACTGCGTCGGCGGCAATTCTACTCCCAGCCTCTGGAAAACGGACGCATCCTCACACAGGGCTCCACCTTCACCTACCAGGACGTCCTGGACCAGCTGCTGGTCTACACACCTGAAACTGTCAACGGGGGAGCTGATGAAATGGGCTTCACCGTCACCGATGGCATCAAGACCCAGACGGGCCTCTTGCAGTTCACCATGGATGTCAGGAAGAGTGAGGGACCTCGAATGACCGTCAACAGAGGCCTGCAGCTTCCAGCAGGTGAGAGTCAGGAGACGTTTAGAGCAGAATGTTGTTTCCACATTAGTGCTAACAGTAATTAGCACATTGTTTCTAACTGTTAATGTTCCAATTAACTCCACTTTCTGTCTAACTGTTTTAATTGGCTCAATGTGAGAAAACTGTTGCTTGATCGTATTTAACCTCACAGATATTTTAATGAACAAACTTATTCATTGGTAGCAATTTATAAAATGTTGCATAATTATGCTGTAAATTTGTTGGGACAGTTATGCTAGATATACCTTGATGCATTCTGCATTACAGTGGACCATTTCTGTTTATTTTAACTGGATGAAGAATATCTCTGATTATGGACACATGGTGAACGAAATGCTGTGTTTTTTGCAGGATCCTTGTCTAAAATCACAGAGCAGAATCTGAAGGCTACAGACATCGACTCGGACAACATGAAGCTGCGCTACATCCTGACCAAAGACCCTCCAGTGGGCAAGCTGCAGCTGGGCAGGAGCAGCCATGTGGAGAAGGTTTCTACCAAAGGTCCTGTTCAGAGTTTCACTCAGGAGGACGTCAACAAAGGTGCCGGCTTTTTATTTTCTTTCTGTCTTGGTTTTGAGTTTATTTTCTCTTTCCTTTTTACCATTCTTTATTTATCTATTTCTGCGGCAGTAGAATCACCTAGAATCAAACTGTACAGCAACTTCTAACAAGACGTAAACAGAACAGTTGGATCTGTAAACTATGAAAGATGACTAAACTGCATACTCCACTGTTATTATGAGCAATCACTGCTGAAAGCAAAATTTGAAAAAAAAAAAAAAGTTGTGAAAGGAAGTGATAAGAAACATTGATATTTTAAGTGACAAAAGTAAAAAAAAAACTGGAAATAACTCAAATCTAACATTGAATGCTATATGTTAATAACAAAACACCATGGTTTTAGTTTTATGGTAGGAAAGTATCATGGTAAAACTGTGGCACCCTTCTCTTAATTTTCAGCCGTGGGATTTGACTGTTAATCTTTTTGTTTCTTTTCAGGACTTATTTTAAAATGTAAATATTTATTTTACTTATCTATCTCGAGTCAGGATTCATTAGCAAACCAATCGGCTTTGCTTGTGGATTTCCTTCACTTTCTCTGACTGTAGTCGGATCGTCGCCTAGAAATCTTTCCAGCCAATAGAACGACAGCATCAGAAAGGCTGCGCTTGTTTCCTTCTAATGAGTTTCCCTGCTACTGCTTACTGATGATTAAATTGTGTATCAATATAAATTCTATAAATTCTAATAAAATAAGAAGCTGAAAACACAAACAATTAGGAAAAAGGAAGAGTCACAAATTGCTGGTGAAGATTCCATAGCCTTGAACTCAATGCTATTTCTGACATTTTTTATTTATAAAGCTTCCTGGATGGGAAGCGAAATGTCTTCCAACTTGATAAGTCCAGTGGATTGGTTTAACGTTTTTGGAAGAGTCACAAAATTTTCTGTTGGAGGCAGAATTAGCATCTGCCTTGACTAGCCTGCTATAGTTTTGTGTTCACCTCAGGCCTGAAGGTGTATCAACTCCAAGACTCTTAAGTACAGTAGCCTACCTTTATTGGGGCTAAAATGGTTCATAAATCTGTTCAGTTATTGTCTATGATTTCAAATATTTGATTTGGCATATCGAAGACAATCCCATACAATTTGTTGACAAGAAAACATTTGAGGAGATTTTTATTATCAGTAAGCGGTAGCAAACTCAGTAAAAGAAAATAAACACACCGGGTGTTTCTCAATTCACGAGAACGCGAGTACGTACTCGCGTTCTCGTCAAGTCCGTTCTTGGTGAGAACGCAGGAAGATCGGACTTGACGAGAACGCGAGCACGCAAGCAAGTATGTGTATTGGAACAGAAGCGTACTCGTGACGTCATCACATGCAACGTTCTTTAGCATTTCTTTAACAGTCAAAACTATTTATTCCCTACACAAAACATTTTGAAAACAATATTTTTAATTTCTAAAGCTTAAAAAACATTTAAAAAAATTACCGAACCGCAAAAAAATGCCATCAGAACGAGCGGTAGTTCACACATAACTAGACCGAGAGAAGTGCACTACAGACGGGGTAAATTTAGCCCTGGCTGCGGTTACCCTCGGAGGTCTGCTGGTCACTCTGGTCCGCTCAACGTCGGACTTTTTTTTTTTATTTCGCACTAACTCTGTAAACAGACCACACAGGGAGGCTTCAATGTATAATGTTATCGCCTCAAACGATTTCAAAACGTACTTTTGAAGAACAACAGCAGCAGAAAAGGGAATGTTTAACTTAACACTGTGAGTGCTGTCTCGAATCAAGCTGCGGCCGCGGGGCATTCTGGGGAAGCGGTCAGTATGAACAACGCACAAGTCTGCTCTGATGCATGCTCGATAAAGAGGGCCGGGCGAGAACAACATCCGGGGATTTGTTGCGTTCTCGATCTGGTGTTCTCGAGAATTGGAACGGTACTCGGGCTGAGGCTGATGACGTGTCACGAGTACACAAGCACACGAGAACGCTCAAGAACGCATATTGAGAAACGCCCACCCTTTCTGAGGCTGTTGTTTTATTGGTTGTAAAGGCTGCTAGGTAACGATTCGACTCCAGTCTGTGAAGCAGATACTGGTTTGCACACAAGGAGAAGGAAGTAAAGGAGACGAGAAAATAATGTGTAAGAAGCATTAGATCTAAGAGCAAAAACAAAGATTTGATAGAGAAGGGTATATATTTGTGAGAAGGCAGAAGTTTTGAAGATGAGCAATATAACATTTGAATGCAAGTAGAGGAAATTCTGCTCTCAAATTGAAAGTGCATGCTCTTGGTTTTTGGTAGTGTTGCCCCAATGCCATTTTTTGGCTCTGATACGATACCTTGCTGTGCAGTTTTGGCCGATACCGTTACCATACCAATACCATCTGCTTGAATTGGATGTGTGTGTATATATGAAGAACTGCATACTACTTGGACGTAACATAATTGCCATCATGGCTTTGTCAAGATGCTGCCTACCTTTGTGAAGCAGGAAAAAGACTAATACAAAGTGAATCCAGTAGAACTTTTTATTGGCTTCCTGGAATGGGTGACAATAGTTGAAGAAACTTTTGGCTGTCAAAATGGTATCGGTGCCCTATTTGTTGGTACCCACTGATACCGATACCACCATTTTAGTGCTGGATTGGGCCCCACCCGATACTGGTATCGTTATCGGTGTAACACTAGATTTTGGCAGAAAAAATCCTCCATACATGTCGCACACACTTTCCCATGTTTGGTTATTCCCAGCATATGGCTGTAACCTGAAGATGTGCACCAGTTCCCTCTATTCTCAAGGTGTTATTTGGACAGTAGAGGATCAAGTCTGTGCTCCTTGTGTAGATAAACATTACCTTTCAAGATATACTATATTATAAAAAAAAATGTTATGTCTTCTAGAAGCAGTTACTGTAGGCAGGCATGCAGTTATGCCTTAAAAATACTCTCCAAACTTAATTCAAGGCCTAAACAGCTAAGGTACTATTAGACACTATAAATACTACCCCAAGAAACAAAATTCTGCTGATGAAGGCAGATATGTAGCCCTGTTCTTCAAGAAATGTCAGAAATTCAACAAAAGGACAAATAACTCTCGCTTTGCAGCAGCCATTTCTTCCCAAACGATTTTTAATCTCACTCTATTACAGCTTCCTTGCAGTTTTGGCTTTCTAATTAAAAAAAAACTCAAACACTGTGTAAAAATGAATGCCGCTCATGATTGCACTCATTTCAGTGTGTTTGCACAGAACAACAGAAACAGCTAAATTAAAGCTTGTGCTCAGAGATGCAGGTAACTTCAGATTAAAGCTGTCTGCACTCTTTATTCATCCCATTTGGAATAATGTTGCAGCCATTAAACGCGGTTTAACACTGTGTAACTTTCACAGCTGTTAGCGCTGTGCATGGAGTTAGGTTGACATTGGGTGTTTGTCTCTTTCAGGCCTGCTGCAGTACAGCCATGAGAAAGGGGAGAAAGGAGGGATTCTGTCTTTCAAGTTCAACCTGGTCGATCCGGAGGGCAGCAAACTGATCGACCAGTCCTTCTTCATCAGCGTTCTGGGTAAGGTTTCCTCCGTACTCCTCTACCTGCAGCCTAAAAGAAAACGGGCTGTAGTGGTCTTCCATTTGTTGAAGAAGACAAGGCAATTACTACAGATTTATGCCTTTGTCCTGCGCTCCACACGGGACATAGACTGAATACAAGATGTCCTCCGAGGTTTTTGCTGTGGGAGCTACTGATGCATTTTATTAACTCTGCAAATTCCCACAACTTATTTCTTTCATCTATACCATAAAGCATGTTATTTTCTTTCCCGGCTGTGTTGGCATTTCTTTGTTTCTCCTTTTAGTCATTGCACCATGTGTGTTAATTGTTTGACAACAATTGGGAACTATAATGCCTGTGAGTCTCCACTGCAGATGTAGCCTATAGTTTCTTATTTAGACTATATCTCACCTACCCTGCTTGATAACAAATCTCTAAACCTGAGTTTGAACTCTTCCTCCTGAGAATAAAACCTGCTGTGATTTAGCATTTTATCCCCCACTTCGGAGGCTGCTGGAAACCAACTGCTTTTCTGTTCCTCGCAGCTTTCTGGTTTGTTATTTTCTTCCAGCTTTTCTGTGTTCTTCTGCTTTATTGTTTTATACCAGAATATTTCTGTTAGTTTCTTTAACTTTTAACCTTTTTTAACCGTCTTCATTTCCCTTAAAGTGGTTATTCCTGTCTCTAATTTTGTCTGTTCATTTTTCCTCTGCTGATTTAACCCATCATTTCTTTTACCACCTTGAGGAAAATTACCTCCATTTAGTGCTTTGCTGGATGAATCACTTTCAATAATTCTGACCCCGGCACAAAGCAAGCAAGCGTCATCAACAAACCTGTGCTTTAACATGAATTTATTTCATATCTCTCTCATCCAGAGGATCATCTTCCTCCTGTGGTGGTAAACAAAGGCCTGGCGCTGGATGAGAACTCTGTGAAGAAGCTGACCACGCTGCAGCTGTCTTCCAGCGACCAGGACAGCGAACCGGGCGAGCTTGTCTACCGGATCACGAAGCAGACCACCCTGGGGCAGCTCGAACATGTTACCAATCCAGGTAGGTGGCTGCTTTAGCTGGCAGATTAGATTAGATTAGCATGCCTGTTCATGCTGCAGACTCATAGAGTGGTGAGTTTCTTGAGCATATAGTGCTTTGAAAGTGTTTTGGTATAATCAAATCCAGCAGTTTTCAAAGTTTTCCTGCTGAGCCAATCTTTGGTTTGCAAGAAAGTTTTTGCACCTCCTCAAACCAACCCTTTGAGCAAAGAAAAGTCAAGTGTATCAAATTACATTTTTGCAATGTAATGTCCTAAAAATCACACAACCACCACCTTTAGAGTGCAACTATTTTAAGTTTTACAATTTAACAAAATCTGCAGTTAATGCATTTTTTAAAAAACAACTAAATGTTTCATGTTTTCAATTCATTTTACCTGTTTTTACCTCTCCCAATCTGCAACTTTGGAAACCACTGCTTTAACCTAACAGATCATTAAACAAATTTGTAAGAGACAGAGTTAGTTATGGAGTAACAGTTGGAAGGCATGAAGAGTCACAGCTATGATCAGAAAAACAGTTTTCATTTTAACATGAAGGGTTCAATATAAAAACACACTCTGAGCTCATAATTGTCAAAGAAACTGAATTTAATTTAAAATGTGAACAAACCAACTGAGGCAAAAGCAAAACACGTCTGACCTAAGAAACAGCTTACGCACTTACGCACACACACACACACACACACACACACACACACACACACACACACACACACACACACACACACACACACACACACATTTATAGAACAACACTCCATAAGCTATAACACAGGACAGATACGTTTGTTAAACTAAACTGCAGCAAAGAAGGAATATAAAAACACATTGAACTTCTTCAATTGAATCTACAAATAAACTTAAGATGAAAAAACTTATGACCACCAGGACTGTACCACCAGGAGCTGGTGGTACAGTCCAATTAGTGCTTGTTCAGGTGCTCTGAGCCCTGGCTGCCATTTTGGAGAGGGCAAATTCCCAGAGGTTATAGAAAGTAAAAAGTGAGTGAAAAAATAGATACATGAACTGTTTTGGAGTGGTTACAAATAAAATAAATGTATATAAACCAATCAAACTTATTGCAAATTAACATATATCATTGAATTAATAAATACATTTAAGTGCAAAGCTTTACCCTATTTTAGGTGTGGACATGCTTTTGATCATCACAAAGTAAACACTAAATGCAGCTTCTAGATAAATGTAAGAGGAAAGAGGTGATTGCCCCACTGAGAGCCATCCTCCTGGAACATTCCAGCTTACCGAAACTTCAGGGGCAGGGGTCAGAACAGAGAAACTGTGTTTATACCTCCACATGATGAAAGAGAGACAGATATGAGAGAAAGACATTATTGAGTTTTTATAGAATATACAGTATCCTGACAAGTGTCGTCCATGTTGTGCTGCAGGGCAGCCTGCACTCTGCAGCAATGGATGCGA